CATGGCTCTCCCATTTAAGACCTTGAGCTCCTGCTCAAGTTAAATGGTGAGATGTGGAAATTCTTGTGTAGCCTTGTCTCGAATATACCATTTCGATTTGCTGGGAAGTTGCCCTTTACTGCCAATACGAAAATACTCATACTTTCCATGTAGGGTCTCACGAACCTTCTGCTCCAAGATACAATCCTCCAACAGAGGGTCTTCTAGTTCAATTTTTAAGTCATCAACTGATGGAAGACGAGTGTCTTCGTCGGGATCATCATCAAGTAGAGATGGCTCAAAAAGCTTAAGATTCTCGGCATTGATGACCAAGTACATATGCATGTATGGTGGTAATTCAAGTTGAAAGGCATTATCATCAATTTGTTTGATGATCTTGAACGGTCCATAACGAATAGGCTTCAGTTTCTTGCCTTCACCGATTAGCCGCTCCTTTCCAAGGTGTAACCATACTAGGTCACCTTCTTTGAAGTTACATGGCACACGATGCTTATCATGGTGAGCTTTATATCGTTGTTGAGAACGTTTCAATTGTGGCTCCACTTCAGTATGAATCTTCTAGTTCAATTTTTAAGTCATCAACTGATGGAAGACGAGTGTCTTCGTCGGGATCATCATCAAGTAGAGATGGCTCAAAAAGCTTAAGATTCTCGGCATTGATGACCAAGTACATATGCATGTATGGTGGTAATTCAAGTTGAAAGGCATTATCATCGATTTGTTTGATGATCTTGAACGGTCCATAACGAATAGGCTTCAGTTTCTTGCCTTCACCGGTTAGCCGCTCCTTTCCAAGGTGTAACCATACTAGGTCACCGTCTTTGAAGTTACATGGCACATGATGCTTATCATGGTGAGCTTTATATCGTTGTTGAGAACGTTTCAATTGTGGCTCCACTTCAGTATGAATCTTCTAGTTCAATTTTTAAGTCATCAACTGATGGAAGACGAGTGTCTTCGTCGGGATCATCATCAAGTAGAGATGGCTCAAAAAGCTTAAGATTCTCGGCATTGATGACCAAGTACATATGCATGTATGGTGGTAATTCAAGTTGAAAAGCATTATCATCGATTTGTTTGATGATCTTGAACGGTCCATAATGAATAGGCTTCAGTTTCTTGCCTTCACCGGTTAGCCGCTCCTTTCCAAGGTGTAACCATACTAGGTCACCTTCTTTGAAGTTACATGGCACATGATGCTTATCATGGTGAGCTTTATATCGTTGTTGAGAACGTTTCAATTGTGGCTCCACTTCAGTATGAATCTTTCTGACTTGTTCGAGAAATTTTTGTGCTCGAATATGTTCTTCTTCTTCTTTCCCACTTAATGGCTGGTCACTCATAGTGAATGCTAAATCAAAAGGACTCTGGGTAAATAACCCAAACTAACCTCAAATGGAGATTTGAGTGTTGAGCCATGAATTGCTCGGTTAAAAGCAAACTGTAAGTAAGGGAGACTTTCATCCCAAGTCTTCAGAAGGTTTTAACCGATCCCTTACCCTAAAGCAATTCCTTATCTTCTTCTTCTTGTTTCTCTAATTGTCTTAAAATTCCTCTCGTTCCCTTATTCCTATAAACTAGGAATTCATAGTTCTATCGAATAGAAGTTTTGGATCAAGCAAATCTCAATATGAAATGTAAAAATCAATCAACACAGAACAAACCCATTGGCTGTTTCAAATAAAGAATCATCAGAATCAGACAATATAAATCTACTACATCAAATGGAAAATTCAAAGTTTCAAGATTCACATATCCAGAGTCTAAATCCATTTGGTAAAACCCAGATAGATGAGCATGAAGATTCAAAACACATAACCCATAACAATCAAAATAAAACCAATTTCAAAGAAACCCACAAACATTAAGAAAATGACCATCAAGTGATAGGACCCGACCCAAATTTCACTTTGAAATCTGCGCTGAACCCTGTACGTGCCCGACACCTGGCAGGTGCCAAACACACTTGACCAAATTGCCCTTCTAACAAAAACCTAAGTTTCTTTAGGGTTTGACTTCTGCCGAAAATTATGCAGAGGCTTCCCTGTAATTGCACGTTTCCCAAAAATTTACACCTGCATGAAAAGCAATTTATAATCCCAACGTTCAGCATGCTTTAAGTTTACAATCAAGCAATCCAACAACAGAATTATAGGGCCTCCGGCCTTACAGAATCCTAGGGCAATTTCAGAGCAATACTAATCTACTTAATTACAAAAATGTACGGAAACGAAAATATATCCTACAAAATGGGAAGAGAATGAAAAGTGATGATGAATGCCCGGTGGTGGTGCTCTGGTTCACGCCTATTGCCTAGGAGTGCAAAACATTTAAAAGTGTGAGTGGACAAAAATAAAGTTTTAGAAAATAGAATATGAACATACTAACCCCACTGTTGAAACCATTTAGAAAATTCAATTATATTCCCCTCATATATTCGTACAAGAATTTCTAAAACATGCATATTTACATACATATTATTAATCATGCATTCAGTCAAAACATCGAGACTTTTAGAAAACATTAAAAAGAAATAAATCTTTTCCACCTAAGTGTACCCATTATATATATATATAACCGTCAATTCCATGATCTTATATTTAATTCCCTCATTACCGTCAATTCCTTGTGTCACGTAGTGTGACACATCCTCACAGGACTCGGTAACACAAAGTCAACCCGAGCTGCAATCCTCGCAAGACTCAGGGGACATTTAGTCTACCTGATCCGCATTCCTCGCTCCGCACAGTCCGGATAACCCTAAGACTCGTGGGGCAACTGTCAAATGCGCGCTGACTCAACCGAAGGCAACAAGGATGTCCGTAGACATCGTTATATCCAAAGGCAACAATTTAACCAAAGGCAACATAATATCCAAAGACAACATTTTGGGTACTTATATTGGTTTAAAACACAAATCTTTCTTGGAAAATTATAAAACTAATTCTCATTACATCCTTAACTCCTGTTATCATTTCCTTTTCTACTTTCCAAGTCATTCTCATTTAATCATAACAAGATTTCATAAAAGTATTTAAATCCAAATATTTATGCTTGGAAAGCAAAACCCATAAATAAATCACTCATGATCAAATAATAAAACTTTAATTTCATAAAATTTATTTATAAAACAAAAGTCCACTCACTGTGCGTCCGAGTTAGCTTGACCCTTTGAGGGTCCCTCCTGCTGGTCTGATGGTGCCCAAGTACCTATTTAAGCCATTAGAAATAGTTAACTAACAAAATTTCCCAACATAATTATTTAATCCAAAACCCTAACCCCCGGCTTCTAAAAGTGCATGTACTTAGTTTAAGACCATTCGTATGCCCACTTAAACATTTCAGACGGTTAGAACGGTCTGAGAAGACCCGAGACTTGATAAGCAATAAATTCTCAAAATAGTCAACCCTGGGACCCCGTGGGGTCCACGACTTCCAATTATCAATCCGAGAGTTCTTATAGGTTCCACACATTTTAATAACCATGTCCTGCAAGTTTGGTCCAAATCAAACGGTCGGATTGCTCACGATCGTACGATTGGACAGTTATCGTTTAATTAAACTTCGAAATTGAATCAAAATATCCGGGATTCCGATTCATGATTTGCGAAATCCTACGCGATCCTAGGAGTGCCTAGATTAACATATAATAAATTGGAGATGATCCAATGGTTCCAACCTATCGAACTCGGATGACGCGTAATAGGCGTAATCCGTTCGAGATTCAAACGACATCCGAATTGGAATCCGAGCACACCTACGCGCTTGTGACAACTAGGAGATTACATTGGGATACAATGCACCTCCGCTACACTGCCCACGCACCGCCATATGCACCGGCAGCGCGTGAGTGTCCTAAGCGATACTGGTGACCGGAAAATCTCCAAACCAAAGGCCACCCTCCCGGCTATAGCTACTACTCGACGAGTGGAACACGTTATTCAACTACGCCAATGTCCAATTCGGACGGCAAGTGGCCGGAAATTCGATTGGAAAACCTGCCAAACTTAGGGTTACAAATCGAGGTATCTAGACTAGAAATTGATCAAATCCTACCCATCCATCAGCTAGAGCTCAAAAAGTAGGTGAGAATCCATACCTCACTCGTCGGAATCGGTGACCGGAGGAGGGAGAACGAACGCGGAAATTTCGAACGAAAATCGACTGGTTTTTCGTGTTTTCCAGCGAGCTTCATGGGCGGCAACCACTGGGACCGGTAGGGAAATGACGGGGGTGGAGAGGTGGTTTGATCTTGACCTGTCCCATGGCCGATGGTTGAGTGTGGCGGCGACGATGAGGGAAGGGTGGGTGGCAGCCGTGAGAAAATTGAAAGGGCCTGCGCGACAGGGGGGAGAGAGAGAGAAAAGGAATCTGAGTTTTTTTTTTTCTCTAAATAAAACATTTTCAAAAATATTACAGTTATGCTATTGAGGCTTTTTCGATCGTATCTTTTTCATTACGACTCCGATTCGAGCCCACTACGTGTCTACAGACTCGTCTCGACGTGCTTTATGCAACGATCCAATTGGAATTTCAAAATTCCTTCTTGAACAAAAAGTCAACTTTTATACTAATAAAATATTCCATGGGCAAAATAGTATTTTCCCATAATAAATTAATAATAAAAAATTTAATTAGGATCGGGTTATTACATTAGGAGTACCTATTTGAGGTCGGTGATGGAGTTGAGCTTCGAGGTTGTAAGCAGTTGCGACCTTAGGTGATTCGGAAGACAGACCTAGAAGATGGGGTTGAGGGGGAGTTTGCAAAATGTGTGGGTAAAGATGGTATTTGCATATTAAATTTGGATTGCAGTGGCATTGGGCGATGTTTACCTAAATTTTTTACCCCTTCTTTTATTATGCCTTCAGCCCATTGCACCCAAAATCAAAGATATGGCTATTTGTGTAGAGCCCATTAGGTTCTTTCTACTGGGCAATGGCCGAACTCGGATCCAACCCACCAAATGGGCTTCTTAAACCCTAATTGGCCTGCATATATAAACCCTAGTTAGAAAATCTGAACTGGGGGCAGAGGAACCATTTGCGGCTCGTCTCAGGGAACCTAAGGACAGAGGCAACCTCCACTTCCTTCTCTCCCATCATGGGTCGTATGCACAGTCATGGGAAGGGCATGTCCGCCTCAGCTTTGCCTTACAAGAGAAGTTCACCTAGCTGGTTAAAGGTCACTGCTCCAGATGTAAGTAGACGAAAATCCCGAGATTTAATATTGAAGTACGTAATTGTCGATGTTAATTTGAGTGGGTTATATCTGTGATTAAGGTTGAAGAGAACATCTGCAAGTTTGCAAAGAAGGGTATGACTCCATCTCAGATCGGTGTGATTCTTCGTGACTCTCATGGTATTGCTCAGGTCAAGAGCGTTACTGGAAGCAAGATCTTGCGTGTTCTTAAAGCTCATGGTATGCCATTTAACTTGTAATTTTAATATTTTTCTTTATGAGTTTTGTTGCACTGTTACTCTGAAAATAATGCTAGAAGGTTTGGATGTGTAGTGGAACTTGTGGAATTGAAACCCATTTCTGCACTGAGCCCGATTAAAGAGGTGAAGATAAAGGAATAAGCACTAATTGATTGCTTACACTATTTTTCTGGATTTTAACATGTGGTTTGGTCGTATGATTAGGCTAGCTCGATAAGATGACCTTTCTGTCTTCATTTTGTATGTTTCATGTTCTCTCAAAACGTAAAGGAGTGTGTTTTTTTTTTTTTTTTTTCTCAAACAAGTCTGTGGAGCTGTCCTTTCTAGTTTCTTTCGTACTACCCAAATGACAGCCTACTTTTTTGTTTTTTTATAAATAAAATATTTATATATATAAAAAAACATAATTTCCTTTTGTCGTTGGCTGGTAGGTCTTGCTCCTGAAATTCCTGAGGATCTATACCATCTTATCAAGAAGGCAGTGTCAATTAGGAAGCATTTGGAGAGGAATAGGAAGGATAAGGATTCAAAGTTTCGGTTGATTTTGGTTGAGAGCAGGATTCATAGGCTTTCTCGTTACTACAAGAAAACGAAAAAGCTTCCTCCTGTCTGGAAATAGTAAGCATTCTTTATCATTTTTTTTCCATCTTCATTTTTATGGTTCTGGAAATACTAAGCATTCTTTATCTAGTTACCATATTACTATATTGCTTGCCTTCGTCCTTTTCAAAAAAAAATTTATTGCTTGCCTTGTTGCTTTGCATATGCAAGGAAGTAGAACAAATAGGGTTCTTTGCTTGTCAACTGCCGAGTTGTATCTGAATCTGATGGGGCAAAATATACCCTTCTAACTTGTTTTGGGGCCTAGTTAGTAAAATAATGAGAAAAGTACGAATAAAACACATACATGTTTTATTCAGCAAAATTTTTGCAAGATACAATTGAAAAGTTTGGCCACTATATAATATTATAATATAATATATTTAAAATATTATTATTTTTATTCAATAATAGGTGAAAAATAAGTGAATTGTCTGTATTAATTAAAATGTTGTAAAAAAAGGTGAAAAATATGTACAGATGTGTATAACAGTATATTATTTGTTTGTTTTTCAAAAAAACGTGTATTTTACCGATTCTTTAAGACGGTCACAGAAAACAGAAATATTATTGAAATATATGTACTTACGTATATAATACGAATATTAAATGGGAAAATACTAGCTGAAATCTGTATGTCACCCAACAGCATAAGCATGAGTATTCTCAGTTTGTATATTTGGTCAGAACATATGTGAGAGCCCCACAATTGAAAAAGGGCTTCATCTTAATGTTGTAGAGCATCTAATTAAGCAGATGTTTTGGCTCATTTGTGTATGTGCCGCCGATGTTTTTTCTCGTTTATGTGTATGTGCCGCCGATGTTTAGATTCATTGCTGACATATTTGTTCTCTGTTTCTGTACGATAATGCTGTGAACCCTGTTTTGTTTTACAGCGAGTCGACCACTGCCAGCACTCTGGTTGCTTAGGTTGGGAAAGCAAGACGGAAGGTTTTGGTATTCTTTACATGGAAGGACAGAGAAACCTAGATATAGTAGTTTGCTTTTGTGCTCTTCGGATTTTGTATCAACTTTTGCATCTTTATCCCACATTTCTATACCACATGATGCGTTTGGTTGTTGTGTTCCCTAAAAATAGGACTGCTTATTTTGGTTTGAGTAATGCTACACCTACCACATTTCTATATCATGTGCCACATCAATTAAGTCAATGGAGTGTATTTTAATAAAGAAAGTTTAATTAACAGTTTTTTTTTAAGTGTTAATAAATCATAAAAGAAAAGAAAATGTTAAATAATTTTAATTGATGTGGTTGTCCACTGCGGTATACAAATGTTGTGAGAATAGCATTATTCTTTTGGTTTTAATTTTTGAAAAATTTAATATGAAAAAATGTTAATTTAATGAAAAGTTTCATTTCTTAATAAGTTCAACAAATGTTGCGAGAGTAGCAGTAGTTAACAAATCCAGTCAAATGCCCAATTTTGTCAGTTTAATTAAAAAAATATTTAACTTTATTAAAAATTAACCTTTATGTACGCGCTTGTGAGAGTTTTTTTTTTTTTTTTTAAGAAAAATTTATTTTAGAATTAAAAAATATAATAGGTAGTTGCAACTTGCATTCCATAAAAAGCTGATCCATTATTTTATTTTTTTTAAATTTTTTTTAATATGAAAAATGTGAATTTACCATATTATCTTCATTTAATTCTTAATGTTTGGATTAACTAAGGATATTTTCTCGTATTTTGAATGTTTCACCATTCTCTGTCTTTTACTTTATTATTAAAAATGTAATATTTTAATATTTTAAAACTAAAAAAAAAACCTCTAATAAAAGGAAAAGCCTTGAATTTGGCATGTATGTGAACCCAAGAACCCTCTTGTTTTAGCCATTGTTGTTATAATGGATCAGAGGTTCAAAATTGTAGAGTTCAAGTTCTCCAAATTCTATGGTAAGAATGCCGAGATATGAATATATGATTCAAATGCTTACTCTATCTGAAATGCCATTGGACGAAGGCAATGACAACTGTGGATGAGTTCTAAGATTTTGTGAATAAATCAATCAAAATATTAGGGGTGGCCATAAAAACTAGAAAATCGAAAAATCGAGTTGAATTGGGTCGAAAAAAAATCGAAAAAACCCAAAAATAGGATTGGACTAGTTTGGTCTGGTTTCAATTTCGGTTCTTGTAGTGAAAAAATCGGACCAGGGGAAACCAAGTGCGGGTGTGTATTTTTTTAAATTTTTAAATAAAATATTGGCTTATTTACTGTGTCACCTCCTAAAACTTGAGCTCGCTCTCACTTAACCACTCGGAACTCAAATTTCCTCACTTTACCCTCCATTTTCCCACTCCGTCTCAAATGTTACCCCCTCCTCTCGCCGTCTCATTTTCCTGTTAAATGACCTTTCGCT